CACCAGGGGTCGTTGCGGCAGCAACCGCACTGGCTGTCTCGCGATTGGCTCCGCCGCACTCGAGGAGGCTCTTCAGCAGCTGGGATGGATGCAAGCCTCCGCCTCCTCCTCCTCCTCCTCCTACTGGCTTCTGAGGACCGGAAGGGTCAGAGTCCACGCGCTTTCCAGCAGCGGTAGCAGTGGCGGTAGCAACCATCGAGTCGTCAGTTTTTGGGGAAATTTTTCGAAAAGAGTGATACTTGTGCACAATAGGTCGCTTGCCGCCACTCAGGGTCATTGTGGTAGTGGTCACAGCGCCGGTGCTGAAAATGGGCCGGCCTGAGAGATAGGTAGCCGCCACTGGGTTGGATTCCGATATTTTAAGAGAACCCAGGGTACTAACAGCAGGCGTGGTTACAGAGAGGCGACCGGTAGCGTGGTCCGGAAAGGGTGATCCAAGTGACTGCCTCACTGAAAATTTATTGGGCAAAGGCGTAGAGAGTACAAAATTGAAGTACTATAGAACGTTAAAATAACTGGCAGAATAAGGAATTGAAGAATACGACATTGGAAAGGGTTCTGTACTCGTCACAAGATGTATTTAAAATAAAGCTGCCGGGACTCGGTCACATTTAAACAGAGTGACTATATGTTTAGGATCAAACTAAAGCCACAGAGAACAGCAAGGAGCATGTGACCAGTGACAGTGGTTTCCGCTGTGGATACAGGCTCCGTTAGCGGTCGGTGAATGTTTACCAACGAATGTGTCAATATCCCCGATCAAAACGGGCACGACAAAGAGTCCGCGGCTCAAGGGTTAGAATTCGGATCAACAGGTTGTAGGTTCGAACCTTGGGTGGTGCACCACTTGGGATTGCGTACGAATGGCTGACGACGGCTAATAAGCCAGAAACTACCATTCTAGTGTTTTGTCTTTGTCAGCAATACTGTCTGCCCAGACTACCGGCCGCTGTGCGCCTGCTGTCAGGGACTGAGAATGAGACGCAAAGATCCGTTCGTGATCGCGGGTTTGAACCCCGGGTGATGCACCATGTGGGGTTGGATATGACTAGCTGATGATGGCTAATGAACCAGAAATGTTCGTTCCAGTCCTCCTTATGCAACAGTCCTTATTATCCTCACCAGTTAGGAGCTTAGAAGTGGGCCGTAGGGTGAACCAGGGAAGCACGGACTATACTGTAGGGAGTGGGGATACAGCAGAGGTGATGGCAATGTCAAGCGATAGCATAACTGGCGAACTACGCATGCTAGTCGAAATGTCAACGACATCAAGCGGCCGACCAACAAGGTGAGCATGCAGCGACGCATAAGCACAGCAAAATAGCAGCGATTTCTGTTGTTGTTGTACTAGCTTACTCCCTTAACCTAGTTTGCCGGCAATACATATTATAAAATTTTTAAGAAAGATGAAGGGATAGAGATGAAGGAATAAAGAATA